ATACTGAGGATAGCCATAAACACGTAAAACACAATATGGACACTTTTCCAAAATATTGTGTCCGATAAGGCTTAGCACAATCACAAACATATAACACTATACGAACTTGCATCCGGCTACTTGTAATCTAACAAACTAGCAAAAGACATGTAATATTAGTTTCTTGCTCCACTTGCGCCAGCGTTGCTCTCATCAATTGTGTGCGGCATAATAAATCGGATGTATATCTGTGATATAGGTTAGTTCTGATAATTATTTTTATGCCGCTATACGATGTGATCCTAATAGACATGCATGCTTTGCTACTTTATTTACGTATTAGAACTACAGCAAATTATTTTGCTGTAGTGTATAAATTTACAGTCACGACAGCAAATACAGTTTTAGCAAACCATGATTAACTATGGTAGCGAAATTTCTTTTTTCCGTAAACATATCGATTAGTTCTGATAACTATTTTTATGTCGCTATACAATGTGATTCTAACAGACATGTATGTTTTGCTATTTTGTTTACTTATTAAAAGCTATAGCAAACTATTTTGCTATAGTGTATAAATTTATAGTTACGGCAGCAAACACAGTTTTAACAAACCATGATTATGTAAAGCTGCTTTATATAGCTGTAGAGAGACCCTTTCAGATATTATGCACTCACGAGAATCGCGCTAATAGAACGACTTGCACGAGCAACGCACGGCAGGAAACTGAAAAGACTGTGACAGACGCGAGCGGCGAGGTCGCGTACGTAAATTGCCAGGGTGTTAGGATGACTCGTAGGGACGATGGGATAATGAACGGAAAAGTTACAAGACGGATATAAAGGAATAATTAACTGTGGCTTTTATTCACGTGCGTATAGCACAACGTAAGAACAAAGACTCTCAAGGCGCGCTCGGTTTCTACATTCATGCCTTCTACACCTCAAGCACTTTATAGCACCACACGCTACAATCAATCACAACGCACGACGAGATCATGTACTACTCTACATGAGCGCCGCTTACTCTACACTAGAGTCCTAGATTATTAGAGCGCGACCGGTGTTACGAGTCCTGATTGGACTTGCAAATGGTCAATATAAAATTGATTCATCGATATTATAAATGGCTGCTGAATGAATCAATCTTATGATTGGTCATTCGAAATTTTAAATATTTTCTAGTACTTTTGCGATACTGCCATAAGCCAGTCGCGCTTCTCTGATAGGACTCTACTCTACACGAGTGCCTCTATGGCAAACCGCCTTTTATAATTAGCTATGGCAGCGAAATTTTTTTTCATGTATTTTTCATGGTGTATAGCATTTATTAGACATCAAGCTCCGACCGTGACCGTAGAAGGCGCTTTCAAATTTATTTCAAATATTTTCTATTTTATTAAAACTTAAAAAAAAATTGGTAACATCAGAATTTAAATTCAAATCCACGGCTTGAAAAGCCTTATCATTCCGCTACATATGTTGCTTTAACATTTTGATCTTATCGTACTGATTTATAACTGACACTAAATCTTTTTTCGTTAATTATTGTTAAATGGTTGGCCATTTATACCTAATATTTTATGTAGTTATCTTTGTGTATTCAAAAATTCTTTCCTACAAACTATTAAAGTTTGATTACAATTTGCGTTTTTTATTAGCCAGATGGACATTCTCTTTGTTAGATATTTTATTCATAATTATCAGATATCATTGAAATTATATACAAAAAGAAAAACAATTTAATTATCAATATTATATGTAATTGATAAAATATAATTATTTTTTTGTAATATAGAATATTCATCCACATTTACTAAAAAATCATATTCAAAATCGTCTAAAGAAGATCGAAAACGGTAATGCTTTGGATTGGTCGACTGCTGAAGCATTAGCCATCGGTTCTTTATTATATCAAGGATATAATGTGAGAATAAGTGGACAAGATGTGGGCCGTGGCACTTTCTCACAGAGACACGCAATGCTCGTTGATCAATCTACAGGAGGTATGATATAATCAAATAAATATTTACATTGTAACAATACGCCTCAAGAACGCATCGCTCGTGCATGAACAGCTGTTAAGAAACCATAGATATATATAGATTGCTGATGTCCTATCTCCCACCACAGTATTCTTATTCTAATTGAATGTCGCCATATTGATGCGCGTATTTCACACCACAATATTTTCGTCTGAAATTATCTGCACTACTCTCTTTTAACCATGATGGAAGGAATAGCATGGTGTGTTCAATTCGGTCAAACCACGCCCACTTTTACTCGGTAATGTCGATAGGATGAAAATCTTACCAACTGAGAAAAGTAAAATTATTTAACATTGGCAAGTTGGTCGCTCTGAGTCTATTGTCCTTGTTTCACGCGTTTCCTTAGGACATCTGACTCTCTCTTGCCAGGTAGAAATGATCGATCTACAGACGTCGATTCGATATCTGTAGATATCAATTCAACATCGATTCAATATTTATAGACGTCGATCAATATCTATAGGCAGTATATATCTATAGACACTGTTAATATGAAAATCTACAGTTTGCGTTACGTATACTATAGATTTCATACCAACATTTCGACGCCAAATATTTCGTTTTTCGCAATTGGTAGCATTTTCATTCTATCGACATCTACACGACGGAGAGCGCAGATTTTTAGAAAGAGACGCTTGCCATCTGAGCACACCATGTTATACTTCCACCATGCTTTTAACCCTGTTGTAAGTCTCGCTGTGCTATTTACAATGTGACACTTAATAATAAGCAGGTCACTGTTGCAATCTAATATTGCAACGGTAATCCATAATAATTGAGGACGCCGACG